TTTATCTTTAGCTTTTACAAATAAATTTGATCAAGCCATGACATTCATTCCAAAGCAAAGTCAACTTTTGAGCTTAGGCCATATAAAATATCAATTAAATACATATAATATGAAATATCAGAAATAACTACCTTTACGGCCTATCCACAGACTAAGCTAAACTAAAACATTTCTGTCACAAAAACTTCATACATATCGAATATATCTTTAAGGTCTTTAAGCTTTCCTTTTCTACATTGTCAAAAAAAGAAAGAAAGAATCATTTCTGTTTGTATTGATTGATTGATGGAATTCAATTAAAAGGCCACGTTGTATTGGCTCGCAGAATATCTCCAAGTCGCGCCCGTGCAGCTAAAGCACTTCCACTTGTTTTCCTTGTATGCGAGCTTGTTATGAGAAACTCTCAAAGAAAACACGTTCAACACATTTCATGGTGTCTGAATGGCAATGACAAATCTTTGTGGTCTCCAGGCCTGGCACAATTATGGTCAGCAAATAAAATGCTCATCAGGAAGGCGAAAAAAAAAAAAAAAAGAGGAAAGTGGCGCACACGCAGCCCAAATGGAGGCAGACGCATTTGTGTGGCGCCCTCCCGTATAAATAACTGCGAACGCACAAACAATGCAAAGCACTAGAGACGAGGCACAAAAACAAACTTGAATTGCACACACAGGCACAGGCGCACAGCCTAAAGGGGCGGGGGGGATCGGAGCGAGCTGGAGCGCAGTGCTCATTGTAGGCAGCCGATGTGGCCCAAATTGTTGTCATTGTTGCGTATACGCCCAGGTGTGCAGCCCAGAGAGTCTCTATACAATAAGTGTGCCAAAGTCGGCATGTTTGACTGTGTGTGTGTGTGTGTGTGTGAGTGAGCGAGTGTAACTTTGTGTGTGTGTTTGTGTGGTCTATGTAATTAATGTTTTCCGTTTCTACTGTGGTGTTTGCGGTCCGAGCCTCGACGGCCTCGAGCCAGTGCTGTGAAAGTGCGCGAAAGTGTGAGAGCGTAAAGTTTACGCAAACAGGAAATTGTTATCGTTTTGTCGCCTTAAAAGAAACTCATTTAGCAATAGAAACCAGGTCAGCTAGTGTGACTAAAAGATACCCTGCGGGTGGAAGGAAGAGTATAAAATGCATACAGATTAAAAACTCTTTTGATGCAAGACTAGATTTGGTTGCTAGTGAAAGTAGAAAACAAATTCGTTATAATAACAAATTCGTTATGAAAACAAAAAATAATAGTAATAAATAAATAAGAATAATAATTAATAATATTAATAAACTATTTTTTTTTTTCATATTTATTTATACTGGTTTATATATTTTAATTATTCATTAATTTTATTTATAATATTAATAACGCTTTTGGGTTTATTTTTCAGTTTTTTCTTTAACTCTATTTATTTATTTATATATTATTAATTATATATTTATATATATTTATATTTATTAATTAACTCTATTTATTTATTTATTTATTTATTTATATATATTTTTTATACGAGCTGACGAAATTTACGCAACTAACAGATGCCTTTGAGAATATGAGACGAATTTGTTATAATTATTTAGCCTCTGGATTATTTGAAAACTAGCTAGATAGATTCACATTTTAAGCATATACATACTTATATTCGCAAAAATATCGAAATACGATATGAATAGCATCATCAGCGATGAGTAACTAAATCTGTGAGGAAGTCTGATCATTTCCTGGCACAGAATTAAAGACTTGACCAAAATTTTCAGCTTTTGCGGCTGGGTCAATGACTTGCTGATAATACTGCATGTAATAGTGTATGTGTGTACATGTACGTATGTGTGTGTGTTTGTTAGCTTTGGATGGGTAATTAAGATGCTATCTCGTTGCGTTGAAATGTGAGTCCAAGGTTTTTTAGTTTTTTTTTTGCCTTTCGGCTTTTCGGCTTTCGTTGCTGTGCTTTAAGTGTGACGCGTTTAATCAGCTACAATTTGTATGTCTTTTACCATTTCATTCAATCAATGCCGCTGACGGCCCACTTGGACGCTCCTTTGAGCTGTCCCAGAGTGGAGGAGCCGCTAGAGCCGTGGAGCGTGTTATTAACGCCTGCAATTTGTGTAACATTTCACGCACTTCACGTAATTGATGGCTATGACTGGGGGCCCCAGAGCAAGTGCACGCACAAGTAGAATGTGGGCGGCTCTACTTGGCCATGCCCACTGGGCTCGTAACTTATTTAGTACGTGGACTTGGTCATTGGCAGCAATTTCTTTCGTTCTCTTTCTTTCTTTTTTTTTTTTTGCTGGGCAGTTTTAGGCGGCGCTGGCTGCCTAAAAGCATGACGTGAACCATTTATATGACCAACATATTTGAGGCATGTTTATGCCAAAGAATGCCTGGCCAAAACGAAGGAGAGGACGAGCTAAGCGCAAGGAAACAAAAGAACAGTGAAAACATTGACCGAGAGGAAGACAGGCAGTTAGCGTGGCTTTTGTTTACGGAAGTCTACTGACCAAAAGGTTCATTCACATGGCGCCATCCTCTGCCGTCGGCCCTGATCGATTTGAGTTTGACCTGTCAACCGATGACAATGGAAGTGACTCGAGCTTTTGGGCCACAGCAAAGCCGACAATTTGTGTGATAAAATATTAAGCAAACTCTGAGTTGAATCGCACGAGCTCTTATTACATTTTCGGCACTCGTATGTGCTGAAATTGTTGGATTTGGTTGATAATATTGAGAGAAAACTAAGGGAATATTTAGTGGTTTTTATATTAGTTTAACTATGTCAGGTTTAATTATTCTGAAAACCTTTTGAAAGATTGTTATTATTATAACAGTTTAATGAAAGAATTATATAAATATTTTCATATAAATTAAGGAAATAATTTAAAGAAACTCATGTTAATATTTCATACAAATTTATATTTTATTGTATTTTTTACTGACATTGATTTTATTTAATAAATGGAAAACAGAACATGATTTGGAATTTAAAGTGTTTTTTCCTCTTTCTAAAATTAAATATTTAAATTGCAAATTTTTTCTTTGCAATAAATAATATAATACAGCTTTGCCTATTATTCAAACTCTTTCATTTTGTTTTGCTTCACATTTATGCCTCCTAGCCATTGTTTATAACTCGCTCAAATTAATTTCGATCGTTTCGCTTACCGAATACAACACTCAATCGACGGGCTGCAATTGTGATGCGATGTGATTTGTGGTTGCCTTAAATTTGCATGCACCGCGCTTGATATGGCCGAGGCGTGACTTGGCGTCCAATTACTCCAGCTAGCGAAAAGTAAACCTGAAAGCAATTCGCAAATTTATTGGTCGAGTCAACAACTTTTGCACTTTTGAGCAATTTGATACTGAAGCGGATTACAGGCGAGAAAAGGCACTGCACACCAAATCGAAATAGTTTATACATTTTTGGTTTAGTTTGTATGCAAAAAACGGCAGAGTGAGAGAGAGAAAGACAGAGAGAGAGAGGGAAAGAGAGAGAATAAAAAAAATATTAACAGAAAAATGAAAATGGAGTGCTACAATGGGCGAATGGCCACAGAATTTCCAGCGAGCACACAAACAAAATGGAGAAAACTTTCAATTTGCTCAGTCAAGTATCGAAATGGTGGCAATCAGGCAGCCATGCGCTCAAAAAACTTAGCGTAGAATAAAACATAATAAAACACAAACCACAACAAGTGCTGCCAGCGCTGGTCCACCCACTAGACAAGAACAAAAAATTCCAAAAAGAAGAAGAGTGCAAAAAAAATTGTTGAAGAACTTTTCAATTTGGCCGCAAAATTTGAGCAATTTCCTTAACGGCGCATTTGGAGCATTTTTGCTCGGAACAGCTGGCTCTGCGAAGCAGCCAAAGGGGTGTGCCAAGTGTGTGCTTATATGAATCTGCATGTGAGTGTGTGTGTCAAAGCTGCCACCACACTGAAAGAGCAATTGGCAATGCAAAAATTATGGATTATGCAAAGTTGCTCGAAGCGCATACAACCTTGGCCCAAAGCACCTATTGAACTCTAATGCATTCAGAATGATTTTATGAGACGCTGCAACGCTTCGTTCGATAGCCTTGTAGACAATATTTTCAATTGACAGAGACTTTGCTCTAGGGAACATGATTGTTTGACTAAATGTCAAACAGTGCAGCAGCTGCAATGATTTGCAGAGCTGATATTGCTTTGCCACTATCAATAAGACTTGTTGACAATATCGATTGCTCTCATTAGGCACACTCGATCGGTCGTGTTTTACTTATTCTCTCTGTAAGTAACAGAAATTTGCAACACGGTATATATTACAGGCATATATTACTTGGATACTTCAAGTGAAACGTAATAGAGATTTTTTAAATATATAAATATATAATATATATTATATATGTATATATATATATGTATATATATAATATATATTATATAAATATATGCATATAAATCAATCACACTTGTTTAATGTAATGACTCTGCATATCTAACCGGACATATTTTAGATTAAAAAATTATGCACAACATTAAATACTAAAATTTTTATAAAAATTACATAGATAATTTTAAGCTATTTTGTTGTATATTAAAAATTTAAGTAGAGTAAATATTTATTGAAAAATAAAATGGTAACTCTATTAATTTGACATTGTAGTTATTTAAAAAATAATAATAAAAGCTAACTAGATAAACTAAGAGTGAATAATATTTTATGAAAATATATCAAATTATTACATAATATTATATTTAATAAAAATAAAATATAACAAAAATGTGTATAAATTTGTGATTCCATAGACGTTTGAAAAAGCTTAAAATATCAAAACATATTCATTTTATATCATTTAAAAAAATATTTATTTATACAGATATTTCTTTATTTAGATAATATATGTTTTACATTTGTATTGATAAAATGGCGTAACTAATCGTATTACTTTCACATTTTAATTCCAACAAATATATATGTATATAAAAATGATGATTTATAAACTGTAAACGCTACAAATCAATATTTGATTTTCTTTCTCAAGCTTACATCGATGTATATTTGGGTCGTATCATCATCTGAACAGACTTCAATGAATAATAGCCATGCCAATCATACCACCAAATGCCCTGCTCACTATGAACCCTTTCATTAAAGTATTGCCCGTTGAGGTTGCTGCGATGAGATCAAATGCTATTAATAAAACTATTCAATTAAAGCGAGTATAAGGCCTGTGTTACCTGTTGCCATAGAGGTTGTACCACCAGCCGCTTCGATAATGCGCGGCACAATTGCCTTGGGGCCAGCGATCGTTATCGCGGTCATAGGTGGTGAAGTCGTCATGCAGATTGTATGACAATGAATTGCGAGCGTTTCCGGTATAGGTGCCCAGTGACTTGAGCATATAGTTTTCCTGCTCGCTGCCAATCAGAAAGTTGTCGTAGCGAGCGTAACGGATGTTCTCGTCGAAATCGACAAGGGATACGTAAAGTTCGTAGGGTAGAGATTTGGTCAAATGATGCAGTGCCTCGAGTCCAATAAAGAACTCATCGTTCAAGTCGCCAAAGCCCTTCTTGTACTCAGCCCAGTTACGGTAGAAGTCAACCCTTCCACTGAAGCGTCTCTGCACCACCAACCAGCCGCTTCCAGCTGTTTCGGCATCGCATCGCACAGAGAGATTGCCGAAGCCATGGACAAATATATCATGGACATCGGAGGACTCTTCGAAGGGTATGCAATTTATGGCCAGATCTTTAGCCAACTCTTTATAGCACGAGTCGGAAATCGAACTGTTCAAGCTGGCAATTTCGTTAAGTACTAACCTAAGAGTTTCGGTATTGGCATTCAATTGGGCCTTCATCGATTCGATTGAGTTCTTATCTTCAGCTTGAGCTTTGTTAAGCGCCTGCATCAGCTCATCTTTAGTATTTGAATGCTGCACCTGAATGGCATTTAGCTGTTTCTGTATTTTCTCAATTTGCTTCTTCTTTTCCAGCATAGACGCTTCATAGGCTTTCAACTGCTCGTTTGTTTCCCGGTTGCTCCTGAACAGAGGTTTCATCTCATGTAGGCAAGCCGAACTACATGTCTCAGTTGAGTTGGCCTATTTATTATATAAACAAACAGAAGACTATGACAACTACAAATCTCGTAAAACTCACTGTACTCACATCAGTTTCGTGAAAATCGTAGCTAGCTGCCAACAATATGAGCAGAAAAAGCTTTAAAATACACAAGTCTAGAGCTCTCATGTTCGATGTGCACTGCCCGACTGGAAGAGAACGAATATTGTATGCCTGCACAGCGAATTCGCTTTATACAGCAACAAATCAGGCACTTATCAAAATTATGTTTTTGCTTATGCAACAGTTTGCAATAAAAAAAAAAATGAGAAGACAAAGGTCTCCGGTTCAGTGTAAGGGCGATTATATTTCAAATAATTGAACAAGACAAGTCGCAACGGGAGTGTATACCCATTGAAACTTGTGTTGACTAGCATATATCCAAAGCGTATTCCAGGAGATAATGGATAATAGAATTAAACAGTTAAATCGGTTTTCGCCACCGATTATAAATAAATATAATTTTGCCTTTTTTGTACCTTTCAACAAAACCAATATACCCTGCATTCACAGAATAAAACGAATAAAACATGTGTTTCATTTCTTCTATTACAAATCGAATAATTTATTTATATTTTCGCCAGACTTTATCAGTTTTTAATCGGTTTACTTTGTATGCTTAGCTCAGAGCAAAGTGTATTTCGGTCTAATGAACATTGCGACGGATTTTAGCGAATAATAGCCATTCAGTGTGTACCACCAGATGCCCTTCACACTCTTCTCGCCGCCCTTCATATATCTGCCATTGAGGTTACTGGACGGAAGTAGAAGGATTTAGTTAGTAATTAGGCACGATAATCGTTATTGCTAGTTGTTCACTTACCTATTGGCATTCCACTTGTACCACCAGCCACTCTCATAATAGCTGGCACAGCTGCCGCCCGACCAAGCGTCGTTGTCGTAATCGTACGTCGAGAACTTGTCATAGAGATTATATTTCAATGAGTCACCGGCATTGCCGCTGTACGTGCCGAGAGACTTCAGCATATATTGCTCCTGTTCGCTGCCGATGAGAAAGTTGTCGTATCGTGCATAGAACATGCGATTCTCAAAGTCAGTCAGCTCGACATAGAGCTCATATGGCCGTGATGTGGTCAGCTGGTGTATGTACTCCAGGCCCAGAAAGAATTCACCTTGATAGTAGCCGAATCCATTGCGATAGGCCTGCCAGTTTCGATAGAAGTCAATGCTGCCATCGTGGCGACGCTGTATGACAATCCACTCGACATCCGAATCGCAGAGCACTCGAAATGGAGCGTAGCCGGGAATCTGGATCAGCTGAACACTGTTCGCATTCTCGATCGCAGAGCAACCACTTGGCCTCCTCTCCCTCTCTCTCTCCCTCTCCCTCTCCATCTCCATCTCAGCCAAGTGCGTTGTCAGTAAACTCTCCAAGTAGTTCACAGAGGCATTCAGACTGCTTATTTGAGCTTTTAGCTCGTTTACGACTGCCGTCGCATCTGCTGCCGAAGCCACTGGAGACTTTATTAGGCCTGTGCCAATGAGATCCGCTAACAGACTCTGATTTGCATTGGAAATATTTACTGTGTTTATATTCTTGTATGTTGCGTTTATCTGCATAGAGCCCGCACTCCCGTTGACATCGACAATGTGAATGGTTTTACTCTGCAACACATTGCCCAACTGCAAATGAGGGAATTCAGCACAATTTCAATGGGGATTTACGACTGCTCGACCCACCTGTTTATCTTCAGCAGCTGCTGTGGCACAGTATTCCAGAAGTAGAATATATACGAAACATTGACCCTTTATCGACATCTTCGCAGTGAAAATGTAAGAGTCGTCGTCGTCTTTTGCATATGAATTTGAATGGAGAACTAAACAGAAGCTGTGACTTGACTTAATGTTATACAGTAATAATTGTTATTTGTTCACGCTTATCCACTTTATCACTGTTAGCTTATCAAGCTGCTTCATTCAAAACATTTTCACGTTGCTAATTTGATAAGAAGGTGTTATACTCTAAATAAATAATACACACATTTATATTAATTTGTATAAATATGCATTTATATTGCACTAAAACTTATTCGGCCAACTTTAAAGTTGCCCTCAATATAAATAACTTATGTATATATGTATATATATCCCAATTAATTAATTTATGTTCTCATAAAAAGCTTTTACTTCATGCTTGAGCAAATATTTATATGTGCGAATATGTTGATAAAACCCGAGATAACTTTGTTGGCGATGAGTAAGAGTCAAGCAGCATCAGCAGCCTTCATCAGCAGCTTCTGTTTTTCTGTATTTATTTTAGCTCAATATTCAATTAAAAGTTTAAAAAAAATTAATACATATTTTAATTAAATTTGAATTAAATTAAAAATTAAATATCAAAATGTATCTTAATAAATAGAAAATTTTAAATTTATTTTTTAAAGTATTATATTAATTAAATATATATAAAACTGTAAATTGTATAAACCTATTTATTTTAAATAATCCATAATACGTATGTATATGTTTAAAATACCTTTAATTTTATTGCGACTTAAAAATTATACAAATTTAAAAAATGAATCTATTTAATACTTAAATGTAAAAAAAAAAAACATATGTTTAATTTATTTATTTATTTTATTTTATTTTTGTGGATATATTCCATTTCCATTAATTCGAAATGTTATTGATTTTCCATTTGTTTTCTATTTTCAAACGCTGAAAACAAACAAATCTTCAAATTTAAATAGAAATATATATAAATCATATTAAATAATAATCATTCCATAAAAAAATAAAATAACAAAAATATATAAAATTGATATTTCATATATACACATTTACACATATATTTAAATTTGTAAATAAAAAAAATTTAAATTAAATTAAATTTACAAATTAAAAATATTTGCAACTTCCCTTATTTTAAGTTTATTACATTGTTAAAATGCATAAATTCAATATTTAAAAATCTGTCAATTCTATAAATATTTATTTATATATCTTTATAAAATTCATTCAGTGAAACGAAATCTCGTTCAGTTTTGTTGGTCATTTAAATTTGTATTTAAATTAAATGTGAAATGTTTATTTTTATTGCTCAATTGTAAAAGGTGCTCACGAATTTCCACCTGAGATTATGCCATTTGCTATTAGCCATTAGCCTTAAGCCAAAAAGCCAATTTGCCTAATCTGCCTTTTTCATATTAAAGCACTCACACACACACACACGCACACACAAAATTTCTTGTTTGTTTTGAATGTCAGATATACAAATGTATATATATATATATAGAAAATATATATACATATATATATTCCGAGCATATTGAGGTGCGAATGTATTTATAAAGCGACTTTGTTGTATTTTTAGTTTAGAAAATCGAAAAATTGAATACAAAATAATGCAAATGAAAATGAAAATGCTCGGGCCAGACCTTTAATCTGTTCATTTTCAATGCCCGATTTATGAAGTGCGAAGCATTAATTTGATTTTTTCCCTCCACATGCATACATATATGCATATGAGTGTGCGTGTGTCTTCGTATGTATTTGGCCATAATAAATTGGGTCAAAAATGTATGGAATTGTGTTGGCGCGCGCTTTGAAGTCACTCTGTCCCCTCCGCCCGCACCGTCAGCCCCCGCACATTTGACTTTGAAATTGAAATTGGAAATAGTAGAGTGTGGTGGCGTGCGAGCAAGGTCAGTCCAGAGTCTACGAGGAATTTAATTAGCAGCTGCACACTGGCGGCACAAAGCATAGTTTATGTATAAAACGCCTCGGCAGCCTCCTCGGGCTGCTTTCATAATTCAACTGACAGCTGAGTTTGCGCTGCATCAATATGGCAATAAGTTGTATCCGGTTGCAGCGTCTTTCGTTTCGCCACTTGGCGCACGTAGCGACTTTTAAGTGGTTTCTGTACTTGCGCTTGACCTCAAACTTTCAACTTGGCCCCGGTCTGGGCCGAGGGGATTTGCATTTGCAGCTGCGTGATGCAGCCGCGTTAACCTTCTACACTAACCAGACACCATCATCACAAGCCCATTAAAATCCTGAGAGCGCAGAAAGCGCCAGCCCCGACTCCGCTGGCCACCACCAAGCCGGCTAGCCAATCGACCGGGCACTTTTCCTATCCTTGCCAGCAGCTGGTTATCCCTTGCCATTGTCTGTCCAGAGTGCGGCATATGGACAAGTGCATAAGAATGCAGGCAGAGCATCATAATTCCAGTCTCTACACGGCTTTGACTTTGACTCGCCAGCTAATGAAATTCGAAATAATCAATATGCCTGACCTTCAGGCTGAGGCAGCTACAGCACCAGCTCATGGAGCATCAATGTCCGGGTTGATGGGGCAAAAATGGAAAACATTTCGCCCAGCCCGCGAGGCAGTCTGTGGGCGGCAGGGGGAGGTAGGTGGCATAGCGCCACGCGTGCTGTGTGCAATTGTTGATTTGCTTTGTTGCCCACACTTTGCGCATTTTCCAACACTTGCCAAGCACTAACATTTACTATCGCTCTGACCCCAAGCCAAAGCCAACAAATTGAAGTCTATTGCTCTGGCTTGTGGCGCTGAAACTTGAACAGCAATGAACTCATGCTAAATACTCTACTCGAATGAAGGATTTAGCGAGTGCCGAAAGAGTGTTGTCTGTGAAGAGAGTATTAAGAGAGTATACAAAGAATTTCAGCTGTCAAATTGGCTCTCAATGGCGCCATCTCCAGTCAGTCGAAATGCTGCCTCGAGTCCGTGTTAAATCGCATTCGAATGGAAATTTCGTAAGTGCATTTGGACCTCATCATGCCCGCTCTTTCCCCAATTCCCATTATTCGCAGCTCAACAGCAGAAGTCCTCGTTCCAGCACTCATATTGCACGCAATGCAGCTTCCATTGTTCAGCGGGCAACGAGCCAGCCATTTGCTCACAAAATTTCTGTTTAGTTTTCAGTATATGTTCTAGGGAAATACTTTTCTTTTTTACTTTCTCTTCCATATGCTGCATTGTGGATGCGCAAATACCCTGTAAACAGAATGGGCCAGAATGGGTTTTATTTAAATGTAAATGAAATGCAGTAAAAGAGTTTAAATCTATTTTGATAATATTTCTCTTAATTTTACTATGCTCTGCTAGCTTCCCATAGATTCATTTCTTTCTCTATATTATTTCTTTAACATAATTAGAGAGCATCTGTTTGTTCAGCATTTTTCACTTGGTCTTTGGACAGGCAAGCGCCCTGTGTTGGGTTGTTAGCATCTTGTGAATTTTCCAAATGGACATTACATCAAGCATGAAAATTGTTTCTCTTGTTGACAATTCAGCAGCCCTCTTTGCACTTTGTTGTTTATTGTTTTGTTTTGCTCACACTTTGATGAGCTGAGATACACTGGAAATAGAGAGTATTATTATTTTGAAGCAAAGCAGCTTAACCGAACTGCAGCTGAAATTGTAGTCGATGAAATCGTGTGGGTGTCGAGCAATTTATACAGAGATATTTATGTGAGAATATTATGGATTATATAAAATATGTATTTTCGATAATATGCATAAATATATATAAGAATTCGCTGCATTTATTTCTTATATACTGAAGCCACAAATATGTGATTTTTGGCAAAAGTTTTTAATATTTTGAAAAATCTTACTCTCATTTTAGCATTTATTAACTACTAACAGTTAGTTTTATATGTATTGAAATATGACATTATATGTATATAAAATATTAATAAAATTCCTCTCATTATAATTTTCTATTTCTTCTACATCTACATCTGGCATCTGTCTCTTTTCTTGATTTATATATGCATGCATGTAATATAAATAATAAAAGTCTTACACTTTATATTTTCTATGTATCTATCTCCTCTACGTCTATCTGGTAGGGTATTGCAACTTCGTCAAACTAAAAATATATTTTTTTTATCTTGTTTTTATGTGTTTATTGTCGCACTTTCAAATGCAAGTTTTATCAGTCTCTCTCCCTCTTTCTATCTCTCTCTCTCTCTCTGTCTGCTTCTCCCTTTGATATCTGCATCTATTAAGCACGGTCAAAACTACATTTGCAAGTCAACAGCAGGCGAGAGACAGAGAGAGAGAGATAGATACAGAGAGTGAGTGAGAGAGAGAGAGAGAAGTGAGAATTCAAGCAATGTAAAAGATAAGCATTTAGATAGCAATGCGAAGGCAATAAAGGCTACTTTGAATGCTAGCATTAAGTTATTTCATACACTATCATTAGAATATAATGACGCCTGGCAGCTAATAAATGGATTTCATATTTACTGAGAATTCGAGAGAGAATAAAAAATAAGAAAATAAGTAAATACAAGCAGCAGTAGAAAGATATTATTCCAATAAATTCACAAAATTCGTTTGTATTTTAATTTTAATTATTTATTTTTTTGTTTCTTGTTTAAAATTTTTATATATGAACTTAAATTCCACTGAATTTCACAATTTGAAACAGCTCAAATTACACTTAATATGAATGCATGCATTATTCCTGTAGATTTTTCTCTGACTATTGATAAGAGTTTTTTTTTGGAAATCGTTACAACTATGAGAATGTTAATAAGTTTATTTTTCGTTTACATTCAAAAATACAAATATTACATGTAAACATTTGTTTGTTTTAACACTTAAAATGCGATTCGAATTATTTATAATTGTTTATTTTATTTATTTTAAATTTCTTTGGCTTAGCAGCAATTTTATTCGTTTAACTTAATTTAGTTTTTAATAGTCCATTGAGACATTTTTGTTTTTGTTTTTTTTTTTTTCACGGGATACACATCGACTTGAAATGTTTTTATTTTAAATTTAAAATTTAATTAAAATTATTTTTTTTTTCACTTGAATATTTATAAGCTTCTTGAATGATATTTAAACATTCATATTTAATATTAAATTTAGTTTATCTGTTTTAAATTTAATTTTATTTAAGCAATATCTTAATAATCGTCTTCGTTTCTTAGTTCATCATCACATTGGGAATTTAATTCGATAATGTGAAAGTTTGCTCGAATACTTTGTGTGTGTTTCTTATGATTTCCTTTTCGCTTTATTTCCAGTGGAATTGTTTTTGGTTGAATAATTCCCCCTTGGATGTTTGACTCCTTAGACAACTTTCCAGCTAACAACATCGAGGTCTTTCTCTGATCAGATCTTTGGCATAGGGCTTCATGCTGATAGCTAAAGATTAAATCCGTAACTCACTGAGCTTAACCTAGGCGCGCGGGGAGTATGTGAATGTAAAGATTGACTTAAACAGAAAGAAAGTACTGAAATGAATACAGACATACACATACATATAGAAATATGGTAAAAATATCAATGCTTATAGTAAACACTCTCGTCTGCTAACCAGCCTCGCATCCAGCTGCTGGTGCAGCGGCTCCTCTCCTTCCACTGTCATTCGCACTCATCTGCGCGCTATAAACACAACCGTCTCGAGCGGCATGCCAGGTGGTGCTGGTGGTGGTGGTGGTGCAGCCCGCTCTTATAAGTCTGTGTGCAGCACCGGGGGCTTACAGTTGGTCTCGGCATTCACGACGAGCAGCGCAGCGGCAGTGGGCGTCACCTGGGTGGGCGCCGCCTGTGCCTGAGCCTGTGCCTGAGCCAGGGCCATGGGCTGTATGGCGGTGATGACATCGGTGCCCGCTGTGGTCGTTGTGGTTGTTGTGGCGGCCACGTGGGCGTTATTGTTGCGGGCGTTGGCCAGGGCCTTCTTCTTGGCCTTGCTATTGTTGGCCAGGGCATTGGGGCCAATCAGACGCTCCGATTGCCGGCCCTTGCCGAACTTGGGAAAGAAACTGTTCTCCAGCTGCAGCTGGGCATTGACATCCTTGCGGGCCGCACAGGTGCAGGCCTTCATGAAGCTCTTCTTGAAGTTGTCGCTGAGGAAGGCGTAGAGGATGGGGTTCATGGCCGAGTTGGAGTAGCTGAGGCAGCCGCAGGCCAGGAACACGGCCAGCTCCAGTCGGGAGGCGCAGCTGGGCGTCGAGCTAATCAGCGCCACCTGCGAGATCCAGTGGGGCAGCCAGCACATAATGTACACCGTTATCACGGTCAGCACCAGTTTGGTGACCTTGCGGTGCGAGCGCTTCTTCTCCTTGCTCTTGTGCTTCGGCCCCACCGTGTGCAGCTTGCGTATGACCAGGCAGTAGAAGATCATGATGAAGATTAGCGGCGTCACGAAGCCCAGGATCAGCGAGTACAATATGAATGCCGTCTCCGATTGTATGTTGAACGCCTCCGGCCAGTTGATGCTGCAGGTGAAGTGATTCGGCTCCGATTCATAGGTGCTGGCAAACAGGATGACGGGCAGCATCAGCAGCACCGAGGTCGTCCAGGCCACGGCCGACACGACTTTCGAGACGAACGGGGTGCGATAGCGCGGCGACGATATGGGATGACAAACGGCTATATAACGATCCGCCGACATGATGAGCAGAAAGATGGACGACGTGAACTGCGTCACGGACGTGCTCACCAAATAGGCCTTGCACATGTAGTTGCCAAAGGGCCAGTTGCCCACCTGCATGGTGTAGAGCAGGAAGGGAATGCCAATCAGAAAGCACTCGTCCGCTATGGCCAGATTGAGTATGTAGATGTTGGTCACCGTCTGCATCTTGGAGAAGCGCAGCACCACATAGATGACCAGCGTGTTGCCAAACAGGCCCACAATGCAGACGAGCACATACAGTATCATCGTGATGAGCTCCAGGCCAAAGTTGCCGTCGCGTCGACAGCCCTGCATGGGATTGTATGGCCCGCTGCCGTTGGGCAGCTCGCCGCCAAAGCCCACCGGCAGGGTGCCATTGAAGCCGGGAAATATGAAGCCGCCGCCGTCGCTGCTGCTGCTGCTGCTGCTGCTGCCGCTGCCGTCGCCATTTACCGTATTCGCATTCATGTGCTTGTAGTAGTCGGAGAGTTCCAATATCGAACTAATGCCAGCGCCGTCGACTTCGCCTTCGACGCCCTCAACATCTATGGCCCTGGCGCTGGGCATAGACTGTTGGCTAATGGCTGGCGCTGCTGCTGTTCCATTTGCTGACGTCGCTCTCGCTGTTGCTGCTGCTGTCGACGCCGGCGTCGCTGTCAGCTGCTCTGTGGGCGTTATTAAGCTCGTTAGTGTCAGCGCTGTCAGTACAAATAACAGGATGCCACAGCGGCCATGGACATGGTCCATGTGGCAGCTGCGGTTGGCGCCGCCATTTGGTTTCGAGTAACCTTTCATGTTTGTTGTGCGGCCGCTGCTGCTAATCCTACTCCTCCTTCTCCTGCTGGTATTGCTGCTGCTGTTGCTGCTCCTACTGCCACAGTTCCTGTTCGCGTTGCTATTGCCTGTTGTTGCTGCTGCTGCTGCTGCTGCTGTTGCTATCGTTATGTTCGCTTGGCTAATTTTCAATCCTGGACAGCAGCGCACATTAGATGCTGCCTGCGGCTAAAATTCAAATATTTTGATATGTTTTCCATATTTGATGCGTGCGCACGGGCGTATGGGGCGTGTGGGGGGCGTGCTGACCGAACGACTGGACACCACGCAGCTGTCGTCACATAATTTCAGTGCTGCACATGAAACGAGAGACAGAGAGTTGGCAAATGCCTGTGATTATTATTACACAACTAATTAGCATTGATTGGGCATGGCCTAAACTAAACGAAACAAAAAATTCTGTTATTCAATCTGGCAAAAGCTTTGCATAAGCCTCTCGGGCAAAATACCTGAAAGGTGTTTTCAGCAAACAAATTGAAGTCGTTTGTTAGGTAATGCACCTTATTAAGAGGAATTTACATACATGTACATATATATTTATTTGTCTATATATTGAGCTACTGCAATCAGTGAAACGCTGCCTTAACAGCAGCCAATGCAGGAGTTTTCGCTCTTCTGATTTCAATTGTTCTTCAAACGGAATAGCAGCATGGAATTTATTGGCCAGGACGACCTGTTGGCCAACGTGTGTGAACTGTTAGTAAATGGCCATAAATGCATATGTAAATATGCAAGAGAATCGCATTGTGAAGCGGCTTAAATTCCTGTTTTGTTTTAATGTATTCTTATATCATACGTTAGGTAATAATAGCTCACACCTATGCATTTATGGCTTGCTATTGTACAATATGCGCTTCAATTTCATTCAATTGATAGTTGAATATTGTAATTGAATTTATGGGCATATCAAAAAAGCATGAGATGGACGAATTTAATGGAGCGAACTGGATTTTTGCACAGCTGCCGGGAATATTGAATGAAAACCGAGATGGCAAATAAATGCGAAAAGCTTAAAAAAAAAGCTGCAGCATTAACTGACAAAGAACATGTGTAATATCTCTGTTCGAGCATGAATGTGGTAATGACGGCCTGACAGCATCAGAAGCCGGCAAGAGGATTGCGAGAGCGAATCGAATAATTTACGACCATTCTTAATATACAAAACCATCGAGTAGTATAAGGACAGAGGTAAAACACTTCTTCTGTTTCATGCTTAAAATCTGTAGGAAATCAAGGCAAAAGAAATAAATTATTTTTAAAAAATAAACATACTTAAAAGAATTTCTTCTTCATTATTTATTCCAAAAATAGCATTGAAATTGATTATAATTTTGTTATAAATTCAATGAAAAATTTGTTATACAATAATAAAATAATTTTATAAAAATAAATGAAAATTCAATTGGAAGGAAACACATTCAAGGTTTTGACAATTTTTTTAAATATATAAATTATTATTATATTTATGTTTATAAATATGTGCTCGTAAATTCACTTCAATAAAAGAAAGCAAAAATCTAGGAAATTAATTTTCACAAAAATGAGCTGCCAACACATATTAACATAATGTGATTTAAAAAAAAAAAATCTAATTTCAAAGACATTTTCCTAAATTCAGTGAATATGAAACGTGACATTGAAATTCAAAGAAAATAAATTTTGATAAAAGAAAAATACCGTTGCTAATACAATATTAATATTTCGTGTAAAGCCTCGTAGAAATACAAAGAAAATATATTAAATAAAAAATAAAATAAAATACAGCAAATAAATAAATTCAAACGCCCTACGGATGCTTTAAGTAATTTATCTTAGATGCCCCAATTTACTGCCCAACTATTTACAATGGACACGCCTCTGCTCCTTCACACCGAACAACATATGTTCAACTGTACAGAGAGTTTGCCCTGAGGATTTCGGTAGACAATATAATCTAGCTGAGCACCTGGGACAGCCAGCACACGCCCAGGTAGAGCAGCCAGAATCCAATTAGATAAGCAAGAAGTAAAGGAGCACAAATGAAAGCCATAACTAAAAACTAAGCAAACAAACCACGCAGAACAATTCTGTTTGTGAATGTTTATTTAGTTCCACAACAAGAACTACTTTCTGCTGCAATTTCAAGTAAACGAGAATGAACTTGAGTTGAGGCCATAACTTGGCGCAAATTTGATGCTCTTTATGAGACCCACGACACTTTTGCGTAAATCAGTCTGCCAAACAGCGAAGCCAAACTCGGCAGACAGCGGCCCCAATAAGCTGTCAAGTTTTTGTTTTGGCCAAGAATTAGTTTTGCCGCACGAGCCGCAGTCAAATGGCGCAAAAGTTCGTGGTTTTCCTTTTCAGGTCAAGGCGAAACTCTGGCAGACTCTCAGCATGATTTACTTTAATGAATTAATTGCCATAGTCCGCCGTCAGATAAACAACATGAGTCGTCAGAAATATATGAGTTGTTGGTTTACACCCAAGCAGAGGGTCGACAGCTGCGATTAATGACAATTGCCCAGCGCAGACAACCAAAACACACAGAACCTAGACGATGCCCAACCAGTCAACCCCTCTCTCTACCCCTCCCTTTTCATCTGTCCCTTCAATTAGCTCTCTAATCGCTTTCGACTCACAATGTGCAACAAATCCGCCGCATAACAGTGCCGCCTGACTGCTTGTGCAGCAAGGCTTGACCGGGCAGCCCCAACTTGATTAGCCGACAGGTAATCAGGCTGACGCTGCCGCTCAGCCTAAAAGCCCTGTCCACAACAGATGCCGGCCACAGAATGGGCTCAGCAATCAATTGCTACACATGTTGCCATTGACGCATATACCACAAAAGACCATGAGACGACCCAACGACAGAGTTGGGCTGAGCTAAAACAGATACGGACTTGCCAAAGGTTGAAGAAGCGCATTTTGAGCCCTGACTGTTTCGAGTCTGAGTAGATGGACCACACCCATTAAATTCTTAGGCAGTTGGGTAGCATCTCAGCTAGTTTTAATAGATAAATATAATGTATTTAAATATGAAGAAAATTAATGAATGTTTGGTTTGTGTTTATGAATTTGAATTTCTTTTACAAATTCTTTTTGATTTGAGCATTCAAGAGCAAAGAACAAAGAAAATAAAATATTCAAAAAATTTAAAGTATTAAATATGTAATTGATTATTCATTTACCTATTTATTTTACTTTACTTCATTTTTTTATATTTTATTTTACTTTCTTTTAATTTTATTTTATTTTAATTAATTATTTTTTTTTTTTTTTTTATTTTCCATTTTCGTGTCCAAGAGCCCCAGGCTAAGCTTATAACTTAATTGATAAATGTTCTATATATATTGCTTGGCTTGCAATTGTATTTCGTGCCGGTTTATTAGCGCACTCTGTTTAATTGAAAATTATACACCTATAAATGAGAGCCATAAATAGCCCACGGTTGTTTGCCCAAATAAATTGCTCAAGGTCAAAAAAGTCGCCTAGAGAATTTGTGAGAAGTACAATGCTATGAGAATTAGCAGCATTATGAATCGTAATCAATCATTATGATTTATAATGCTTAATCTCTCAAAGCGAATTACGCACAAGAAATTCATTTAAATTGTAAATTTTAAAGTGAAACAATTAAATAAACTTGTACTAATCTGCCATGAATTTAAGCAATGTGATGATAGAGTATTTATAATATCCTTACACTAAAAAAAATAAACTAAGCGAATAATTTAACTTACAAAAATTATATCGATTTAATGAAAAAAAAAATCTTTTTTTTTTTTAAATTATATTGGACGATACTTTATCAATGTTTATAACAGCTCTAGTCCTGTATCTTTTTTTTGGTATTTATATATAAATGTCCCAATATTTGATTGCTCTAATAGGTCTTTAGTTTTGCTATCGAATACGAAATCATCGAAAATATTTTGCGTTCCATTATTATTATTACTGTCGATGTCATTATTATTATCATGTATTTGATATTTATATTTCATTCAATAAGAAATCTCTGTTTAACTTTAGTAATCCAAACATTTCCATGTGGTATTAACAGCTGGCGTTATGCATGCATAATTGCTCTTACGTTTGTATAATATAGAGCACTTTGCTTTGGATTGTATAACTCCGCTGTATACACATACTTAAGTATGTATTTGGCGAATTTCACAACATCTCCTTTGCGGGAGCTTAAACTAAGCGTACTTAATTTTCATATATTATTCAAGAGCTTCTTCCTCATTAGCATTCCCTTTGCCAGTCCGCAGATATGAGCACATAAAATAAAATTCAATTAAACAAACATTTGAGTTCGCAGAAGCAATTTATAAGACGCAGAAAGTCATGTATATGAAGTGTTGATGATCTTCTGGCTGCTTTTTCTTCTTCTTCCTCTACTGTTGCTCTTTATAAACAATTTCGTCATAATGATGTGTTGCCTATTTGAAAAATGTTTCGCATGTTTTAATTTACTTGTTTGGCTCTGTGGCATTTGACTAATGTGCGAGTAACATAAAAGATTCAAGGCAAGACGCCAAAGGCCCCCCTCACCCCCGGTCCAGCAAGAAAAGCAAACAAATGAAAATGTATAAGAAAATCTAAAATGAAAAGAACAAAAGGCAGGCCTAAGGACGGCTGCGTTTTCTTGCCAGAGCTCGAGCAAACTCTTGAAAATTGAAATGCCTTGGAGCACGCCTTGCGGGCTCTTTAAATTCAACGCGCGATTTCTGAGTCTTGGTCTGGCCCGGGACCTGTGTCTAGACACTGATTTCTCAGTTGGTTCGTGGCCGAAATTAATTTATTGCTTAAATGCTTAGGCGGAGGCGTGGCCGTGTATGGGCGTGACACGTCGCTGACGCTGGCATTAACCGCTGCGCTGCTGAAAGCTCGCACGGCTCATCATCTTAAATGGATATTCATGGAGCGATAACTTAAAGCGATTTTCGGGCAAGGCGCTGAGCCACCGAGCCACCGCAGCACCACATCAAGTGCACCACCTTCACCACTGCAACAATTCACAGAATCGATAAATGTGTTCAGTGTGGTTCTCGGTGGCTGCCAGTGACATAAATCAAATTATATAGATAAAAGAGCAAAAATAAAAAATAAAAAAAATCATAATAAGTACGCTCACCTCTGTAATGAGAAGCAAAAAAAGAAACAGAAAATGAAAACTCTCACATGAAACGACACGCGCCACAAAAAGTCAACTTGCAAATGTTCTGCACAAATTTGTTATCATGCAAAGCATTCGCATACCCTGTAAACATGCCTGGGGGCATATTTATAAGCCAGAAACTGCGAATGG